CAAGACTTGACTTAAGCCTGTGGATGAGTCTGGAGCCATCTTGCTTGTGGGCCCAGCACGGGCTCTGGAGCTGTGTGAGTCCTTGTGGTGCTTCTGCCAGACTGGCTTTTCTCTCGGTCAAGACCACCTTTATCTTGTTTCCATGCATAAATCCTCCTGTACTATTACCCAGTACTTTACACCAAGCAAAAATAACCCGCTCGTTTTTTAACCTTTAATACATATATTTCTAAAGGGAACATGAGATCATTCTCATAAACACGAAACCTGCATCATATTCTATAAATGGCAGGTAATGGTAAAAATAAGGATGCGAAAAATATAACATTGCTATTTAATTTCAGCTAGATACTATTGCTGGAAAGCTGGGTCTCTTGGTCCAAAAGGAAGATCAGTAAGTGTTACAGAGGCGTTAAGTAGATGCTGACCTCCAATTGGGAATTCCTCCTTGATGTAATCAACTGAAAAGGAGGTAACTCTCTCCCAGTGCTACTTAACTTGTGCCTGGATAACTCTTACAATGGCCTCATGGACCAGTGATGGTTGGTGCCCACTCTGGAAAGCATTGCTTCTGTAGCCTCTATCTGTTTCAAGATCCTGTGGCTAGGTGCCTTTCCCTACTTGACCCCAGCTGCCCACCTGCCCTTGACCACGGCTCCCCACTCATACCGGCCTCACTGTATTACATAGGCTGACCAGGCCTGGGTGTCTACCTTGCCCCAGTGGATGAGCTTGGTTCTAGGTCCAGCCATCTCAGGGAATTGAGAGAAGAATACAAGAATGAAGTCTTTAGAGCCCTTCCTAAGTGACAGACATTGATAGATATTTTACTCACATTATCTCAGTTTTCCCCACATTTCAGTCATTCATCTACCACCTTCATGATTTCTGCCGTATCAGTGCTATTCATTTACCTTGTAGTTTTCTTTAAATTGATTTGTCTTTTAAAAAGTTCAGAATTTCATTTTAAAAGGAAATGCTATATTTCCCCCATAAATCAGAGAGTTTGGTGTGCCAGTTATATTTTTCTAACATGCATCATTTGTGAGCTATTAAAGTAATAAATGTTCATCCATCTACCACCTAAAATCATCATGCACACACCATCAATCACCCATGTACCAGCCCTTGGGAAATACTGTAGCTCCTTAGTTAATTCTCACGTGTTTCTGGAAGGGTGGTTTATAGGTAAGAAGGTGGAGGCTCAAAGCATTCCCTTCCTGAAGTCCCACAGGCAGAAAGGCTTGGGGCTGAGATTTGAATCCAGACAGTCTAACTCCAAATGCCAAGGCTCTTTCAACACTAGTGCTTTCCAAATGGATTTTTTTTTAAATCCAAAGAATCTGTTAAAAATGAAAATGTGTTTGGAAATCCAACATATAAAGCAGATAAAGTTGGAGCTTTTAAAAATTATTTAAATGGGATTGTTGGGTGCAGAGGTTCTTTTTTTGAAACTTCTCTTGCCCTAATCCATCCTACAATGGCCCCTGAGAACCTGTCTCAGCAGCCCGGGACTCTGAGGGATGTTATTTTGAACCGAAGTGGCACCACCCTATCTCTTGACTTCATTTAGTCCCATTTTCCCCATGAGCCAAACTCCTGAGGAGCAACTTCTGGGTCTATGTTATCTTTCCTGGCTGGGCATCTCTACCTTGGACCTTTGCCATTTTGAAATCTTGAAATTTTCCACTGGCATTGTAAGCCTTCCTCTGACCTAATTATTCGTTCGTCAAACACGGATGTCTAACCTGTACCCAGATTTTTAGATGACACAAGAGGAATAGATGTAGTGTCTTTGATGTGTTCCCAAGCCCATGTGGGAGACAGATAGACACAGCCAAATACAGAAAGGGTTGGAGCAGCCCCTGTTCACCTGAGTCTCATTGTTGTCTCAGTTCCTGCCTCCTTTAGGTGGCTGGTTGCATCCAGTTTGGAGCAGTGCCTGAGATGGAGCCTGTGAAGGGACCCCAGCGGTGCCAGAGGTCTTATCTGATTCCCCACTATGATTCCTGGGTCACTGTTCCCTTTAGCAACCAATGCCTGATTTAAGTCTGGACTTAGAATCATACCTTACTCAGACCCCCTAAACCCTCACTCCAACAGGAGGACCAATTTACAATCGTGCCAGCATCTGCAATGTGGAGCTTTGACTGCCTCCTGGCCTCAGCCTGCCTTCTCCCCTCATGGCTGCCCCCTGCCCCAACCTAGAGATCTCCCACTGAAGTGTGTACCCTTAAAGGGCCCTCTCTGCCATGAAGAGAAGAAATTTGTCACTCTAAAATTATGGGAAGATCCTGTCACAGTTCCAATAAGTTTTAAAGACATTCAGCCTGTGGTACCCCCTGACCAAGCCAAGATTTCTACCCTTTTTCCTCAGCCCTGGCTATGGCCCTGGTTCTCTCCAAGATGCCTCCATCTTTGGAAGGTGCTAAATGTCCCCAGAACATCACCCTTGGGGTTTCACCCGTGCTATGGGACCTGGTCTAAGCTAAGCTTGAGTTCTAAGAAGATTCTCCCTCGGTAGGTCCTAGAATTGGGTCCATTAGCAAACTCAAAACAAGTCAATTCAAGCCAAGTCAACTCAGTTCAACTCTACTCAACTTAACTTAACTCAGCTCATTTCAATGCAATCCATACTTACTGTGTATTTTTTGCCTACCCTGAGCTAGGCTCTAGTTTTGGGAGAGCTAGAATCCAACAGTTAATAAGACACAATGTTTACTCTCAAGGAGTTTTCTCTTCTCCAAGAGAAAGAGGTGGCTCTTTTCTGGCCTGGAGACATCCCAACCAGCAGCATAATTCCTGGGGTCTGCTCCCCCAGACTTCACAAACTACCCTCCTGAGATTGTATGACTTCAAGACTTCAGACTGCAGAGTCAGTTGGTCCCTTACCCTTTAGGATATGGTTCATATGGGTCCGGAGTCATTCATTTATTCACAAACTTGCATTTGAGCACTTACTATGAGCTAGACACTTTACAGACATTATTTCATTTAATTCTCACACCAGCAGTGCAGATACAGAACCAGTACCTGGCCGGTTAAAATTTAACCCAGCCCTAATTCCAAAGCCCATGTTCTTTCCATCTCATCCCACTGTCTCTTAGAACAATTGGATAGAATCATTAATAAGGGATGTTTAAACAAACACATTCCATATGGAGGGAAAGAGTGGATTAATGAATATTTTATGTAAAGCAAAATCTCACCTGACCAGTTTATTAGACTTCTTTGAGAAGTGAACTATATAGGGAGATAAAGGGTGACTTTCACAAAAAGCCTTTGTCAAATTTCCATCCCAAAGCCTATTAATAAAATTGATTCATTATAAAATTGGGCAGAGGTGGGTGGTGAGTGGGAGGGAGTCTATTTTTGCATGGATAGGGAACTGGCTTAGAGACAAGGAAGAGAGGGTGAGGAGAAATAGGTGCTTTTTCAAATGAAAAACTAGGGTTCCCCAGGAACTGCTGCTGAGTTTGGTCTTATATAACACCCAAGCCCACATGCATTGAGTGCCCAGTGTGTGCATTTCCTGCAGTAAGTAGGGGGGGATACACCCCAAAACCAGACTTAGCTCCCCTCCTGGAGAAGCCCAGAGAAAGAAGTGCTCAGTGACATCTCCAAGTGTTCAGAGGACAGACAGCTCTGGAGGGGCTGAAATGCCAAGACACTGGACATAAAACAGAAGATGGTGGCCAGGAAAGGGGAAAGAGCCCCTTGCAGCAATCTGAAGATCTGAGCTCTAGGACCAGTCTGTTACTGACTAGCTGTGGTACACTGGCCAAGGTCCTTCCCTCTCTGGGTCCCAGTTTCCCCTCCTGGACAAGGAAATAATTGGACTAGATGCTCTGTAAGGGTGTGGTGTTCTGGATGGAGGACAAGGATCTGAAATAGAACCTGATTATGAGAAAGTCTCTATTTCCCGTGGCCAAAATGTCTCCTTCTGTGCCTGCACCGAGATGGGGGACCACTCTGCCTCTGTCTCTCTCATTTGTGAACAGTGAGGATGAGGCAGAGAGCCATGAGGTCTGTGATGCTGGGGCTCAGAGCCCAGCCTGGAATCCCTCAGTGGCATTCATTGCGTGTGACTCAGCATCATAAATAGCTCCCATCTGGATGAGCAATGATATCTATAGCGATCAAGCGATCTCTATATCCACACACACTCTCTCTGTGCAAATATGTGGCTCACTGTATGCTAAATACGAGGTGGCCTGGAGACGTTCCTCCTCTTAAAAGACTATTTGGTATGAAACTCAAGACTGTTTATTTAAAGAAACAAGTTTACAACTATGCACATTGGATTACTGGTAGTGGGTGGTGGGGAAGAGGCAATGTGGATGAAGGGATGCTGGGTGTGATCCAAGCTTGGGGGCCACCTGACAGAGGGGCTGAGGCTGACCCCTCCACCTTCATCATTCTGTCTGCAGCAGGAGGGGTAATGGATACCGTACATGAGATGCTTGAGATCCTGGGGTCAAGGTACAGGGAGGGGGCTACTGTTGAGTTCATCAGCACAGGAAGCCACAGTTAGCAGAAAGAACATAGGAACTGGGGGGACAGGAGAGCCAGGTTCCAGCCCTGCTCTGCCCTGCCATTGATCTTGAACAGTTCATTAATTCACTCATTCATTCATCAAGTATGTACCAAGCACAGACAATATGCACAGGCCACATGGGGATACAGACAAGAAAATGTAGGTTGGAATTCAGGTGTAGCCACCTGCCAGCTATAAGTGCTTTCCCGTCTCTGTGCTTCAGCTTCCTTATCTGTAAACTGGGGATAATACCTCCTAAGGTTTAATGCACAAGAAAGTGCTTCTGTGTTGTAAATGGCTAGCACCATTCCACCACATTACCCAGTTGATCCATCTCCTTTCCACTTAGGAGTGTTCTTGGGGATCACGGAGGGGAAATGTCATCCTGACCCCCTTCACCAGGGCCCCAGGAGTGGGGGCCCTGAACACCACCCATGGGAATGACCCTGGGCAGTACCCTTACCTTTGCTTCCTGGCTGAGCTGAGATGTAGGGGCCTTCAGTCAACGAGCAGAGCAGGTCGCATGCCAGAGATGTACAGCTTCCTGGAGGAGGAGAGAGGGTGTTCAGGGGTGAGGGGAGAGAACTTCTGGGGCAGTTCATTGGGGTGCCTGGAAAGGGCACTGAACCCCAGACTCCAAGGAGGACATTCCTTTGCTTCTCCTGAGGCCACCACAGACCCCGGGGTTCCAGCAAGGGACTGGGCAGGATGGGACCCTACCTGGCATCAGACCCAACCCCTGCCCCCACCTCACCTACTCCCGTGATACCAGTTGCCCCTCTTGGCCACTGGCTCGGGCAACGCTTTTATGGTACCGCTGACCACACTGCTTCCTGACTTAAATGTGATTTCTGACCCATGTCAATGGGTGGGGCTTACTGTCAGTCATGTCTGGATTTGAATTCTGGCTTTGGGAAAATCCATGACATCTCCCCAAGCCTCAGTTTCCTTGTGTGTAAAATGGGGCTGCTAACAGTCCCGATCTCATACATTAAGTGCCATATAAGCGCTTGTTGTAATCATTGTCATCTGTGTTGACTAAGAATATCTGTGAAGATGTCTATTAACTTGTAGCCCCTCAAATTGTAGTTACCTTCCCCTGCTTTCTCCTAGGAGGCACCAGGTACTCCTGAAAAGGCAAGGGCACGTTCCATGACTCTGTCTCCGGAGCCTTGCATGGATCCTGACAGAAAGTGGGTGCCCAGTGAACATGTGTTGACTGAACAATGCTCCTCAGGTTTGCTGGGTTTGCCTTCACAAAGTTAGGGTTAGTGAGGTTGATGTTCTCCCATTTTACAGAGGAGAGCACAGGTTGCAGAGAGGGGAGGTCATCTGCTCTGCCTCCCACAGGGGCGAGTGTAGACCGGATGAGAACCCACAGTCCCTGATCTGCTTCCCCACCCCCAACCCTCAGCCCTGCAGTCAGGGCCTCTCCTGGCTGGACCCCAAAGCCCCAGCAACCGCAGCCGCCTGTGTCCAACCTGGTGCCGCCTCCCCCACTGTTTCCCTTCATCCGCTAACCACAGTCCTGCTGTGACTCAAGAAAGGGGACATCCTGGTCCTTTCCAGAGCTGGGGACCAAGGAGGTGCTCTGGATGATAGACACGGTTTGGATGAAGCAAGGATTCCAATCGATCAGCCGACTCAAGCTCCTTCCCGGGACGGGTGGTGTTCTGGGACCACCCTGGGAACACAGCACCTAACCCCTTGGTCTCCACTGCTCCAAGGCACTCTTACCTCCCCCTGCAATCCCCTCCCGCCCCAGTCCTGCCACTAGACTCAGAGCTGAGCTCGGCAGGGCCCATTCCCCAGAGCCTGGCACTTAGCAGGACTTGATAAATATCTGTTGGGTGAGTGAATGAATGAGTAAATAGTGGCTGAATGACTGTGTCAGGCCGTGTTCTAAATCCTGGGGACACCACAGGGAAAAGGGCAAGCATGCTCTGGCTCTCGGGGAGCTGACAGTATTTGAATTTAAAACTAGCAACCGGATTGGAAAGAGGGCAGATGTTACTGTTCCCCAACTGGCCAGGTGGGGAAGTGGGGAGGGAATGTTTGTGAGCCTGCTGACTGCCCCGGGGAGGACCTTGGAGCCAGAGGTGGCCTCCCTGATCTCAGGCAGGGCCATCTGTGCCCCAAGTGGGGAGGCTGACCTTTAAGAAGGCCAGGAAAGAAAGGTGGTGCAATTATGTATTTAATGTCTACCTGCCGAGTCCCCGACCGCTAGCACACTGCCTGGCACAGAGTGGATACTTAAATTTTTGTTCAATGAATGAAGCCATTTGTTCACTGGGTGGGCAGAGTGTGTCAGGATGACTCAGGTCTAGGGGCTGGTGGGAATCAAGAGTGCTAACTCTCAGAATTATTACAACGTCCACTTGGGGCTTCGCTGTTCTCGGAGCCCATTCACATGGCAGTTACTGTTCTCCCCATGCAGGTGAGGAGGACACGGAACACACATGTATGAGTGAGCACACTGCGCTGGGCGCTAGTGGTATTCACACAAACAACAGGGCAACAGCAGGGCAAACAATAGGGCAAACAACAGGGCAAGCATGCTCCATGTTTTCAGTGTATCTGTGATATGCCAGGCCCTTCACATCCACCTTCTCTACTACTCCCATCCACCTGGCAAGGCCAAGGTCACCATCCCCATCACACAGAGGAGGGCACAGAGGCTCAGAGGAGGCTTGATCTTGCACAGTTGGAACCTGGGTCTCACTCTAGGAGTGAGGTGTAAAAAGTGCACAGTCTAATGGGGACCCAAACAGGAAAGAGGATAGTTAAAATCCAGCCCCAGCCCCAGTGAAGCCCTCCTCTGCCACCTGGCTGCTCCCAAACTGTGTCCTAGCAACCTCACAGTCCTCACCTTGGCAACGCCAGCTTCTGCACGCTCTTCCTGATTGGGCTGGAAAGGAAGTGCATTTGAATGCCTAGCTAGAATGCCTCCTGTCCACTAGACCTGCTCAGGGAACCAGCCTGGGCCACCCACAGCCCGCAGCCCTGGGTTCATCAGGTGGAGGCTGGCCAATCAGATGCAGGATGTGGGTCTGGACGCAGGACAGGACTCTGGACTCTCAGCCTTGTGAGCTGGGTTCTGACCCCAGGGCTGATGCTCTGAGTGACCTTGGACAAGTCTCTTCCCGTCCCTGGGCCTCAGTTTTCCCTGTCGTAAAATAAGGAGGTTGGGGCGCCTCGGTGGCTCAGTTGGTTAAGCAGCTGCCTTCGGCTCAGGTCATGGTCTCAGGGTCCTGGGATCGAGCCCCGCATCGGGCTCCCTGCTCGGCGGGAGGCCTGCTTCTCCCTTTCCCACTCCCACTGCTTGTGTTCCCTCTCTCACTGTCTCTCTCTCTCTGTCAAATAAATAAATAAAATCTTTAAAAAAAAAAAAATAAGGAGGTTGAACAACACCATCTCTAGAGTCTAATATTATCTTACTCTGTTTTTGACCTTTTCTTATGGTTATTGGTTGGATGCTCTATTGCTGGCACATATTTTAGTGTCAGACTCTAGGGTTTTTTTTTTGTTTTTTGTTTTGACTCTAGGGGTTTAAATCCTAGTTTGCAGGGCGCCTGGGTGGCTCAGTCAGTTAAGCCTCCATCTCTTGGTTTTTGCTCAGGTCATGATTTCAGGGTCATGAGATGAAGCCCCGCATGGGGCTCTGCGCTCAACGGGGAGTCTGCTTCTCTCCCTCTCCCTCCTTCTCCTTCTGCTCCTCCCCCTGCCACTCGCATTTTCTCTCTCTCTCTAAAATAAATAAATTACTTTAAAAAAATCCTGGTTTGCTTGGCCAAATCACTCTACCTCTCTGAGCCTAGATTTTTTCCCTCCTTAAAATGAATTTCATGCTATCTTGCCCAGGGGGTTATGAGAACAGTCAGTTGAGATGGTATAAATGAAAGTGCTTTATAAGTGGCAAAGAGCTATGCAAGCGTGATCTATTTCATTACACGGGCTGTGCTCAGTAACCATTTATTGAACGCGACCCGGCCCTCCCACCACCAGCAACAACAGCAAGCATTTATTGAACACTTACTATGTGCCAAGCATTGTGCCGAGGTTTTACTCATGTTATTTTGTCTTTACCACAACCACGTAAGGGATTTACTATTATTATTCCCATTTTCCAGATGAACAAAGGAGGGCTGATATGATTTTGTATAGAAGGAGCTCAGCCAGATTCCCTGGCTTTAAAACTTGACCGTTTAAAATGTAATGAGGTGGCCCCCTCAGATCTCTTCTCCCTATTTCAGGTTTTTCCTCTTGTCCTAAGTCAGGACCTTACTCAGAGTTTGGTGGGCAAAGGGGCAGCATTCTCATTTACTGAGCATCTCTTCAAAGTGCCAAGAATTGACCAGCTTCTCAGGCTTTTCCCTGAGTGCCAGTCCCTTGGGGGTATCATTAAAATGCAGATTCTGATGCAGTGGGTCTGAGATGCAGCTGAGATTCTGCATTTCTAATGCGTTCCTAGGAGATGCTGATGTTGCTGGCCGGGGGACCACACTTTGAGTAGCCAGGTGCGAAAGGATTTCAAGTATTATCTTCTTGAATCCTGGGGACTAAGTCTTTTTAGCTTGGGGTCACAGATGGGGCAACTGAGGCTTGAGAGGCAATGTACCTGACTCAGGGTCCCACAGCATACAAGGGGTGAGTTTGAACTTCTGTCCACCTGGGAGTATGCAGTGCTAGGGGTTATGTGCCAAGCCTTACCTCCTGGCTGTGTGGTCCCTGCTTGGGCTTCTGTCTCCACAGCCAAGGCAGAGAGTGGTCTCTGAGACGCCTACTAGGACCTGTTTCTTACTTTCAGTTTGTCACGAGCAGACCAGTTTTGGGTGCTGACTTCCAGTGGGGACAGGGGCCTGGCCCAGGAAGTGTCCGTGCCATTGAGTGGACATCTTAGGATCAGTATGGGATCCTGCACATGTATGACTCACCCTGTATGTCCTACCCCCAGCCTGGCTCTTTTGGAATCCTGTCCTTATTTGAAAAATTTTAATGTTTCATTCACCATGGATTTTGGGGTCACTAATTTTGTTTTTAAAAAATATTGCACAAAATGGTCTTGATTTTGATGACTGAGCTTTTTAGCATCCCTTTACATTTTGCACCTGAGGCAGTTGCCTCTGGCCCTCGCCTCAGCCCAGTCCCGGCCAGCCCTATGTCTTCACTGGCCCCCTCCTGCCTCATGGCATCAGGACGCTGCCTGCCAGGAGCCACGGTGCCCACCCAGCCACTGGCCGGCTGATACATTTATTTCCCAGCAGGGGGATCCATCACTTGGCTTGCCTTTTGGCCGCCCTGCTCTAGCGAAGGCAGCAGGAACTGTGGGCCTGACAGGGGTCTGGGTGATCACTCTGATGTGGGCTTTGCCCCAGCAGGCCCCTTACCAGTGAGGAGAGGGAGAAAAGGGACTTCACTACAATTTCGATTGCCCCCCTCTGCTTCAGCCAGTCTTCAAGGCCCTGCCTGTTCTGGCTCCTGTTAACCCATCTGTCCTTATCTCTACCACCCCCTCCCTCCCTCCCTCGGCTCCTGTCATGCAAC